TTCATAACGGCGAGCAAAAAACATGGAAAGGTCGAATTTCTCGCTCTCAACTCATTTTTCTCGCGCAAAATCAAGCAGCGCAGAACTCAGTTGGCACAGAATTATATAATGATTTTGAATACAAAAACGACGTAACCATTTTTAGGTTAAACATGCTCGAAGAGGAAAATTGATGTGGACGGCACTTTACTCCAATGATCTAAATAAAGTACGCACTCAGACAATGCTAATCGACTAGCTTTCGTGAAAAGGCAATGCTGACGTCAGCAGGGAGGATTTTTGGATTGACTCTGCAATAACGACTGCCTTAGTCGGCTATAACAGAGGATTCCACTTCTGTCAGGCCATCAGAATGAGAAATTAGCTTAACTAACGAGAAGTTTTTCTTGTGGGTGGGTGGAGAGAACTCTTACTTGGCTGAAAATTGGGATTAGTACATACAGGGTATCCCAAAAAAATGTGCACACTGTTTAATCGTCGACGAACCGCTTGCTTCGATATCTTTCGCCGATCGAGGTACCATTTTGTAGAGCTAGGTTCAACTTAGATTTGCAGCATGGAGAAGAATTCCGACCTCTACGGTAGGAACCTTGAAGAGGGTTTTAAGCCGTAAAAATCGCATTCCGCCTCGGATAGAGAACCAAACAAGCTAGAAACTTTAGCATTGGGCTATTTGGAGTCGCTGATTACGGATACGCATTTTGCACATTACGGTCATGCTTCCTTCATAAGTTATTTGAAAAACAAAAGCAACTGCTCCTTCAGTGTTCTTTGGAAATGTGATTGCAGCTTTAAAAAGGCTCAGAATTTTCGTAAAAAGTTGCATAATGAAGTTAGCATGCTTATAAATCCTGCTACACAAAATTTCAGAGTTTTTCGAAATTTTTTTCGTTGAACGGCAACGGGTGCTGCTGAGAATTTCAAAATGAAGCCGAAGTCTAGCTATAAGTCACAATTTGCAGAAGACTTGTTTTTTGTTTCTCAACATAATTGTAACAACTGAAACACTAAACAATTTTTTTTGATATTCCAGGATGAAAAGACTGCAAAAAATTGGATAGAATCCCAAAAAAATTTTGAGGGCTATGCTATTTATCCATCACAAAAAGTATCCTCCCCCATCCCTTCCTGAAAACTATTGGGACATCCGCCGAAAGATTAACGTTGAATACAAAATGCAAAATTTCTCCCTGCACCTCTTAGCTGGAAAAGTGTGTTTTTGATAAGAACCTGCGTTTGACGTGATCAACTCAATTTAAGCTACCTGCTCCCAGCTAATGAGCATACGATCTCTTCGATACGAAGGTGTCTTCATGAAAAGTAACAATTTGATTAGCGCACAAAATTCTCTACTGCCCTCTTCTCGATCTACATCATGCTTTGAAAAAGGTGTTGCGTTACGTTTCCACGTTTATAATCTTTACTCTTTTGACACTGAAAAAATGAACGTGTCGACCAAATACGAAGCAAGAACTTGTAGTGTGCAAATTGTTTTCCACTCTATCATTATGTTATTTTGGGCCCTAAGTCTCTTGTAGTAAGTGCGTATGATGCACTTTGACAATCCTGCGATTTTGAGTGACTTGGCGTGGGCGCGCTGTACTTAGCGCATGGTGACATTGAAACGAGTGAGTGACAATATTCTCCACCTGCCAGGGGATAATAAACGACAGACGGAAGAGTTTGCAAAGGGGAAGAGAAGAGATTGAGATAGAGAACATTTTATACAATCAAGGATTTTGCACCTAAAATTTTGGATTAATACTTTTGGATTTTATTCTGAATAAAGAATCTTGCACCTTTTGCATCAACTTGTAATAACTCACACTGCCTATGAAATAATCTTATCTAATACGAGAGCCGGATATAATTCTATGCCATAGAAATTTCTAAAGTGTTGCATTATCCTTTTGCAAAGGTCAGCTATCCATTCAGCACACTATAAGATGTAATTATAGTGTTAACGGACCTAATTCAGTTTTCGAATGAGTAGAATATGGTTTCTCATCGACAGTAGTAAGTCAGGACCAAATAGGCAAAGATCTTTAGATGCAAAAAAAATCAAGATGATTGTAAAAAAACTACTAAGAAAATGGAAGATATCAGGACATAAGTCTGAATATGGACTGATCATGTCGTAAGGCATTTAAATTGACTGCTATTGCTAAAATGCTTTTCCAGCCAGTCGAGACATGCATGCAAATGTTTTAACAGAAAAAGAGGTTTGGAAAATTGTTGGAAAAGCTATGTAAACAGTATCTGATTGCCTAGAGTAGTGTTTCAACAAATTATGAATGAACCCTCCCAAAAGCGAGTACAGTGCTCGAGATTAGGGAAGAGGGGGGGGGGGGGGGAAGGAGGGGATAGCCGTTACCTAGTTGTTGCTAAGTTTTGAAAATGATGTATGTTCAAAAACAGCGCCGATTTATTCATAGCACATACGCATTTAGCTACTGATATGCTCAGAAACTTCGGAAGCAATTTGGTCGTAACAAGGCTGGTAAAACAACAACATTTTCATTTTTCCGGCTGCAGATCAAAGCAGAAAAAATATCTTTGCTCGGGGTATTAATCATGTTTAGATTAGCCCGTATTTCTCCTAGCGATGTTTTTATCGAGCCGAATCAATTTCGAATGTCAGCGTATCATCTCAAGCTTTCTACAGTAACCTTTAGAAATTGCCCTATCTTTTTTGCTATCACAAGAACATATACGCCTGTCAATCACCAATCCCGTGGGGTTTTCTATGACGCAAGAGTTTGTGAGATGTAAATCGCTCAACAGTGGGTTACTGCCGTGTTTGGTTTAAGGGCCAAGTTACCTCTTTTGTAACGTAAAAACACAATGCAATGGTTTGCACAAACTCAACTTCTATTGACTGCAGAAGTTTCATTATATGAGTAGGAACAAGCAATTTAATTGGAAATGCGGAAGCTACTAAGAATGGCCGCGCTGGGTGTCATCATCTTACTTATTGGAAAGCTCTTTTCGAAGAAATTTCAGCCGAGGCAGGCGGATACTTTTCAAGCAGGGCAAGAACAATTCTACAGGGTGTCCCAAAAAAATGTTAACACTGTTTGATCGTTAATAACTCCCTTGCTTTCAAGTCTTTCGCCGAGCTTTAGGTACCATTCTGTAGAGCGGGGTTCAACTTAGATTTACAGTGTAGAGCGAATCATCTAACGCTCTTCGTTACTGTAGAATTACGGTAGGAAATTCCAAAATGTGGAACCGTCATGAAATATGCCCTCTGACAAAAATTTTTTCAAAAAATCTGAAAAAGTGTGTACTAGTGTAGTAAAATCGCGCACGCTGATTTTACTACACAACTTTTTGCGAGTGTTTTCAGCTTTTTGACGGCGTAATCACATTTTTGACACATGCTGGGAAGCCAGTTATTACACTTTACCGAGGATAACTTTGAAAAGAAGTGTCATAATGAAATGAAAGTTTCATATCCGAAATCAGCGGCTTTCATTACCATAGTACAAGAGATTTTGGTTTGTTTGGCTCTGTTTTAAAGCAGAAAATGGGCTTTAATGGCCTAAAATCCTTGTCAAAATTCCTACCGTAATTCTACAGTAATGAGGAGAGCTAGATGATTCACCCGATACTGTAAATCTAAGTTTGTCCTCGCCCTACAGAATGGTACCTGACGCTCGGAGAAAGACTTGAAAGCAAAAGAGTTACTAACGATCAAACAGTGTTAACATTTTTCTGAGACACCCTGTATTTCCCCTTTAGACGAATATAACTATGAAGAAGATCTTCCATTTTTTCCTAAACTCGGATACCTTTCTTGGATCTAAGATGTAGACTTCAACGATTTTAACAAGAAGCCTGTCAATGCTTGAATTTTTAATGACTACGTTTGTCACATGAAACAAGTAGAAACTAAGGCTTTCATTTACATAGTCTGAGTAGAGCATGCAGACGCTAACAATTTTTTCAATCTATTTAAATCGAGATGTTGTTTTTGTTAGTCAGATAATGATTAGTTTGACGCCCAAGCATTTAATTACAATACAGAAAAACCTATACAAAAAGAGCATATGTTTGTTGTCTGGCGTGTTATCTGCTCCGTGGTGTTCGCACTATGATTATTGACACTCAGCGCGAGCTCAATGATAGCCCGACTACGCAAATTGTTTTAAGGATTTTTTAACTTGAAGGTAGAGTTAACTCAAAATTCCGGCTTCCCAGTTCACTAGATAGTTCATATAAGTAACCCTCAAAAGTGAAGCACTTGGTTGGTGTATTTCACTATTAGTGGAAATTCGTAGTCCGCGGGAGTTCTAGCCCCTGTCGCCCTCTTTACCTCTCTTAGTCCATCCGAGAGTTGTTAACTGACGCGTCTGAATTTCAAGCGCTGCTCAAAACGAGTTCTGTCCTTGTTGCATGCAACGGGACCTGCTGTTGCATGCGAAAGGACCTGATGTTACATGCGGCAGGTCTTGCTGTTGCATGCGATGGAACGTGCTGTTGCATGCGACAGGACTTGATGTTGCACGCGCCAAGACTCAATGTTGCATGAAACACGTCTTGCTGTTGCATGCGATAGGAACTACTGTGCATGCTGCACAGGATAAGACTAGCGCAGGAGCGCTTTTCCACTTTTCCACAAAATAGGGGCTGCAAAACGGGATTCTGTCGTTTCCATCTATTTTGCAGCTCATATACGAATATGGGCGATGGAAAGGCTCAAGAATGTTGAAAAGATGGAGGCAAGATCCTCCTTCAAAGCGCCTCAGATAACTTAATATGATGACGGCCACATCCAACTTTCATTGACTAATAAGACAATAAAAAAATTTGATGTCACAAGGCCAATATAAATTAAGTCTATGCTGAATTTTAGAATAAGCATAGGCCACTATCATCGCATGACAGCAACCGCCTCCATTTGGTCTCTTTTTCGGAGCAACGAGTCACGCGAAATTTTCAGTCACTTAGTTGATAAATAAGTCTACTCCATGGCCACATTTTCTGCAGCAGCTTACCAGGTGAAAATAGTTTTGACTCACTGACAGCGGTACGTATTCGTCCAAGATTCAAATTGCCACATACTTGATTCCAGCGTTTCCTGAAAGAAGCATCGTTAGCGCTTACATCCTTTATTCTGATCACATGGGACTCAATCGTTCAGCAGCTGTTTTTTGTAAGCAACTGCCTTTTTGTGACGCATTCACATAAAAACAAATTAACCTGACCTAGTAAGGGGAAACCAATTACCCAGTAAAGACTAAGTTGTGATATGGGGAGGGGGGGAGGGGGGGGGATAGAAAGTGTGCACAGTGTTTATTTGTTTACGGTTCTCTTCTCTTGAGGTATTCTAGCTGAATTAAATCTTTTCTAGTGTTGGCTTGGACTTAGGTTTGCAGAATTAAACAGAACTGATCGCTCTGGATTATTGTAAAGTACGGTAGTAACTCATATGCAAAAAAACATCTTTATCTCAGTTACCGCTTCGAAGTTCAAAAAATGTAGGACTTGTGAACATTTTCTTTAATGAGAAAACAGCCTTCGCAGCATACATGAAATAAATTTTGAATGGTGGATCATTTACGAAGTATTGTAAGCAAAACTGACTGTAATAGTAATGTGTTTGTGTTCTTGAAGACAGAAGGGCTGTTAATCGCGAAACTTTCTTGCTACCGTAATCTGTGGTAACGAAGAGTAACCGATGGTCTCTTCTGCTAAATTTGATTAAAGCCAAGTCTAGAGAATAATGAATGCGATAGGTCGCCCCCTCTTGTCAAAATTGTTAGGAACAATCAAACAGCGTGCACACTTTTTTCTCCCCACCTCCCCCGCCCCCTCCCCACTCCACCCCCATAAACAATTTTTTTTGCACCCCTCCTCCATATGAAACAGTTGATAAACTCACTTTGCAGCTTCCCTTTTCAAGAGAAAATTTGGAGCTTTCATCAGATTCGAGAAATTCTCTTTGATACTGCTTTTCTTCCTTGGGGGCATTTCGTTACCGGGCGGCAAGCTTATAACGCTTATCTTCTTTTTAGGTGGATCCACTGTCGACAGTTTTTTGCTCATTTTCAATATCTGCAAAATTTTTGTAGATTATTGCTATGAAAAATTCATCACAAATTTTTTCAAGCGATCGAATCAAAGATAAGAGACAAATGGTGTGACGAGCGATTTATGCACGAGATGAGGAGCAAAACAAATAGTCTCAAATGTCAGACATATCGCTTTAGATAATGAGAATGTTGTTTGGCAAGAGAAGGATAGCTTTAGATGAACTGGCAACAACTCAAGCAAAGTGATAAGCACCAAGAATGTGATCAAAAGTATTTTTAAAAAATTTTTTGCTTGAATGATAAAAATGTAAGCGATTTTGGAAAAGAGGGAAAATCCGTGAAACAGCTATGTTTGAAAGTGAGCACACAATAGCAGAATCATTCTTAGACATTTCGATCGATCTTATGCTTTTATTGGCAATATGCGGGAAATTATTTATGAGAAAAGCACCCCAAAATAGGAATTCTGTTGCATATTTGCATAAATAACATACTTTCTTGTTATTTTATGCGAGCTGCACCTTGCGGTGCAAAAAACGGCATAGAATTTGCAATTTTGGATTTGAACTTTCGAATTTAGAAATTCCTTAAGTTGGAAAAATGAGAGGAAGAGTGGTTTTTTCCAGCTTATTTCTTCCAAAGCTAGTCTCCTTTATTCCGCTATACAAAGACAAAAACAAAACAAAACAACAACATTCACGTGGACACAAAGTAAAAATATGCATTAAAAACCCCTCTAACGTCCCAGGTATGTACTAACCACATTCCCACTGCTGTCTCATAAGCCCCTGCAATTCAATCCGCAATGATCCCGGAAATGTGCAAGCCCCAACGTTATCGAGACACGCAAAGCATGCACGGAATCTATTTCATGGCAAACAACGCATGAGAGCCTTTGCAGCGATGTGCAACGCGGCGGTGATGCGATTGGAGAGATAAAAAGAATAATGAGGATAACGGGGAAAAACGGCAATCCGGAACATCTAATCAATTTTAGAGATGTAATGGGGAAAATAAGCGGAAATAAATGGCGAAAAAGACATGTGGATTCGTTGAATCTCTATTTTCATCTCTTTGCCGATGATGATACAAGGAATACTTGATGGTATGGTGTACAGGCAAAGCAAACCTGGGTTAAACATTTCTTGTGGAGACTAATGAACCTTGACCAAGCCTTATTCAGCCCAAACAGCAGCTAGCGATAATACAGTGGAGGCTGAGAAATTAATACGAATGGATATGTATGTGACAGAGGGTGCGAATTTTACTGCGAGTCGGACTTCAAATAGCATATAATTTGTATTTTTCGGGGCTCAGATACATTGGAAGTGTGTAAGGAGATATACTAGACAGCTGCATGAGTTGTTAGTCTTATTAGCACTAAATAAATTTGAGACATCAATGCTGAGAGTGTAAAATTCTTGAAAATGCAACTAATATCTAGTTTTCACTCGGGTTTTCGCCAAACATCGGTGGTAACTTCAAACAGTTAGTCAGCCGAAGCACTTTGTTCAGTAACTTCAAAGACTCTCATGACACTGAGTAGGGCTTCTGAGTTGCTAACCTACATAAAATTGATGACCCACCAAACCTGTTGGCCGTCTACCATTAAATTTACCCGAAAAATACTCTCTACCGTATAGAGGACCAGGTTGGCCCGTGTCACAACTGGACTAGATTTGCATCAAATTTTATGGTTACGAATGGACCATGTAAACTACCGCTGGGGCTATGGCATGGCCACGGCTTCAAGAACAGCATACATATAAGAGAATAGGTGAGCAAATTCTGCTGTGCCCACATGGACCATTTTTCAAATTGAAGAAAAGCAGGCGGATCAAATTTAACAGTTTTGGATTCTATTGAAGGAGTTGTTCCTATAAGAATACAGTGATTTTATCAGGTAGAAATACGAAATGGAATCGATAGATGATATCTGAGAATGGAGCAACAAAAAAAGTTGTAGGAATTTGGAAACATTCTTTATAACAGATGTGATGGCGAAACTGAGTGATGTTGTGCGCTCACACGCGCTGCGATGGAACCAGTTGAGTGTTATCGCAGAGAAAAATTGTACTTTCGTGAGAACCACCAAAATTATGTTGCTGTTGAAGACTCTGAGACTAGCTTGAGGGTTAGCCAAGGCTTATTTTAGAATTCTATAATCTTATAACTTCTATAATCTTATAACTTTGAGCTTCCAGAAATTGACATGACTCAAGAATGCATCTAAGCAAACGTTTTATGACACTACGACTTATCAGTTTTTTATGAGCTATTACAAATTTTATGTGACTGCATTTTTATGAAAAAACAACCATGACTAAGTTGATAGCTCACTTCGAAAAAAAAATCAAGCACTACATTTCCTACAACTTTTTTGCTATGACATGAAGAAGGAAAGAAGCTTAGCAGCTACACGCTTTTCAAGGACTTATCCTGCGTTTTTATCCATAGCTGCATTTGCAAAGAAGGCAGAGACAGACGATGTTACGTAAGTGCGGCTGAAGCATTCGGCATTTTCCGGTAAGAAGTCCATATTTGAACCGGAAGCCGAATCGCGTCTGAGCCTATATGCATCTGCAAGTTTGCATACGAAGCCACTTTGAGCTGAGATCCGGCGCTCGATCACGAAAACCAAACGAACTAAAAAGCGGAAGTTATACTCGATTGTGGGATGAGTTTAGCTCAAATTCAGAAAAGCAGGAGCGCTTCTATGTTAATTGAGTTTTCCATCGATACCAATTGGAAAAATGTTGAACTACCTAAGCGCCACCCCATTTAGTTAGAAAATCCAACCATAAATCTTAACGGAGACCGCATAATTCTATTGCGCTTTGGAACCCGAGTAATGCGCTCATTGAATACGGTCTGAGGATTAGAGCTAATTTTCTTGACCATGAATGTACGATATGAGCTGCTACTTGGACAGTGGCTCAAAGACACCGTCCACCCTAAGTTGAGGGTCTTAACTTTTGGTAGCATATGATAGTAGGGCCCTCTATCAAACCAGTGCCCAAGTCGCGGCGCAAAATCTCGCTTCCGCAACGAGAAAATCGCTCCGGAATAACGAATGTACACGAAGACCCCCAGACGGCACCGCCCTTCCCATCCATGCCCGCCCATCCATGCGCGCCCAACCAATCACCATTCCTGAAAGCCGGCCTGTGGGTTCTCCGGAACGGAGACTGTTGGGGTTTTGCGGATTCTCGATTTCATATTCGGAATCAGGGACATGAGAAGGTCCTGTAACGACAAAAATTTGGAAGTGGAGAATCCGGGTGGACGGTGTCTTTAAAGGCAGCGTCCACCCGGATCCAGGCAGACGTCCGAGCTCTGACGACCACGCCCACTTCCTCGGCCAACCCCCCCCCCCCCAAATGAAATCTCCTTAGCCCTTGACGTGTTTTCATATGGTAAACACAGTTGAACAAATAGCGTTTACTGTTTATGCTTGCTTGACAAGGATAGCATCAGAAGCAATCACACGGGTTTTCCCAAAATAGCCCCAAAAAGGTAGTTTTTTTTCAAAGGAATTCACGCTTTTTAAGCGCTATATTCGGACTCAGCACTATGAAAAGGCTGGGTGACATAAAAATATGGAAGTCGAGAATCTGCCTGGACGCTGCCTTTAACTAAGCCTCCTGATTAGTCAGAACATCAGCGCCTAAACATTGTCTGCAAATCTATCCAAACCAGCTCCCTGAAATCATGATCAAAACATCAACTCCTTGAAAGCAACAGAAGTTTATTTCTCGTCTGCCTACAAGCGATATAGAAGAAGAAAATAGTCAAAATAATGTGAATGCATTTTTTATTTAAGGGAATCGAATCTTCGGATACAAAATTCGATGAAATTTGCCATACTTAAAATACTTCTTGCCTTTACATGCTCTAATTTGTATCCATATTTTCAGTGATGAATAAAGACATGGAAGATTAGAAGGGAAATACAGCCGTCACATCAAAATCAAAGCTCACTTCTTAACATAATGTTCTTGCAAATTCATCGAAATAACAGCCATTAAAATAAAAGAAGGGATTTGCGAAGGTACGGAATGCCCTTCACGCTTCACTGATAAGACTGTTTTGCAGAAGATACGAATAGCTTGAGATTTTGCAAATGGCGATAAGATGTGACTAAAGACAATCAATATTTTTGAAGTGCTGATAAGGAAATGCTACAGATGTAAGATGGTGAAGGAATCAGCCATAAACCTGGGAAAATCCTTTGCGATGGTGCTTCGTCGACCGCAAAGGAACATTGGGTTTTTATGAAACTGGGAAAGGTTCATCTAGGTTTATCTATGAATTACTTGCATATTGTTTCAAGATCAAAGGAGTAAAAGTTTGTGTGTAACTGCTAGTAATAACAAGATGAAAAGTATTACGATAAGAATGAGAAGAAGGAATATCAGCTGGACTTTGAACGATTGCAGCAATACATGGCAGATTTTCTTCTCTCTAACTGATTTAGATTTAAGCCATTAGTGATAAAACAGAAGCAGTTCCAAAATCGTGACAGTTTCTAAGGCACATTGTGCAGAAGTTAGATAAGCTGCGTTGGTTACAAAGTGAACGATGTTTGCAAAAGACCAAAGATGGCAACCACTTTTTTCTCTGGAGGAGGAAAGATTCGCACACGAAAATTATGGCTTTTTTCTAACCTTCGATGACCCAAGAGCCATGCTTAGAATGCAAAGAAGCAGCAAGGCTTTAGCAATTCATTCCAAAAATTTCTTAACCGTGCCTGCAAAACCCTTTGTTCTCGTAATCGTATTTGATAGGCACACAAGGAAAATTCTCTTACGTTGTACTTAGGAAATCATCGGAAATGTTCCACGGGAGAAAACTGAAATATATTAGGTTGGTTAGTAAGTCTTGCACCGATATTTTGTATAAATTCGAAAAAAGTTTCGGTTTCGGAACGAGTTCGTCCAATTTAGATGTCTCATAGAATAAAATAGTGCGGTTTTCAGCGATGTTTGGAGCGAAAATATTTGCTGCCATAAGAGGGGGGGG